AGGAATGCAGAAGAGGGTGAGTAATTGTCCTATCTATCATCCCCCATGTACAGGATTTCATCTTGCCCTCACTGAACTCTGCGAGGTGAAGAGTTGACTAGAGAAATCTACTGCACAAGTTACAGCCCTGTTCAATGTAACAAGGTTTGACACAGTACCTGCTGGCCATGTTTTCTCCAGCTAAAGAGGCGCCTGGGATTGATGCACAATTTCTTTTAAAGATAAACATCCTCTCAATATTTGCTTTTCCTTGGAAAAACTTACAGGAATTTTATGTCTTGAAGCTGAGTTCACATAATAGGAAATCATGTATAATACAGTGCAGTTAAAACCTTCCTATAAGGATAGAGCAACTCCACCATTACGCACCATTCAACCAATTCTATTACAATAGATTCAACGGTGTGGGTTGTCAGTCTGTGCATTACACAGGGCAATTTCAGTAAAAGCAATGAGCACAGCACGTAATGAGAACACACTTTGTTCATACACACTCCCCCCCAAGTGCTGATCACATTAATGTTTATTTAAGTTTCATGTTTACTTGCTCAAAGAAAAAAAAAAAAAAAATTGAATCACCATGCATTCTCCTGTGGCCCATTTTGTAATTGTTCCACTTGCTCCGAGATGGTCTCAATTTAGTTTAGTAATCTGATATTGTCCTCCAATTAACAACTCTCATTTTTAACTCCATACAGTGAACTACTCTGTCAACCTGTAAGAGCAGTAATTCAGTGGTTTCACAATCACAGAGTGAAACTTCGATGCAAGTCTGAAACTTTGATGCAACTGTAGAAAATGAGGAGCTATTATGGAGATACATACTCAATTCATACACTCAGTTGTTTAAAAAAAACCCCACAAACCCCTACAAATATCAGCCTGTCTACTTCATAAACTCCTAAATAAAATGAGGCTACCTTTCCCACGACCTGAAGCAGAACCCGAGGGGACTCTATGGAAACCAAAAGCGTTAGGTCTCGCAGGAAGGTAGCTCTGCATGTTCTTGCAACAGTTAGCTGACCGTGGACCTCACCATCTCTACCAAACCAAAGCGAAACTATCCCCGTGCAAGGGACAGAAGTCACTGTGTATTACGACATTGGTCTTTCCCACAGGAGGCTACAAATCCTCTGTACTAGAACATAAAACTAAGCAAAACATGGAACTGCCCTAACAGAAAACATAAACAAACACTGCAAAGGCAGATTTCCAAAATGCTGATGGTGTAACTCCACTTTAGCCTGCTAAAACCTGGAAGACTCCTTAGGATTCACATATTTCAGACTTCAAAATCAACAGGTTATCATATATAACAATAGTACATGAACACACACTCTTATCTGCTTTACAGATTTAAAGTGACCCCAAAACCTGTACTTTAAAATTGATTTATAAAAAAAATTATGGTTTCAGCAGAAGTAATATTGTAAAGCCACTACCTGTTTAT